TTTTTTTGTATTAAATAGTAATTTTTAAACTACTAGATTGTGCATTGGGACGCAGTCTTATAATATATAAAAAAAGATTTAATCTTTATTAATTAAAATCTGTGTATAATTGCCAAAATGTGCCTTTTCGAATTCATCCGGATCGTAACTCTAAAGTATAGAATGGTTATTAGTATTAATTTGGAAGTTTATGATAAATAGGAAATAAGTCTATGTGTGGCATAAAATAAAATAGTAATAAAATATAAATAAAATTTGCACTTTTATGTAATACATTTTTTTATTATAAGAGTTATAATAGTTATAGTAGTTATTTAAATAGGATGAAATATTTCATTATACACAATGTTTTTTGTTTGGCAGGTTTCACCATTACCTGAAAGAACTTTGACATATTGATATGAAGTAAAAAAATGTGATATTTATTTTTTAAAGAAAAAGAAACATCCCATACATGTACCACTAAAATTTACTTTTTTTATTTAAAGAATTTTTTTTTAAAGTAATACAAATTATTATGATTTTGTTGGCCTACAAAGCTAGTACATACTGTTAAGTCACTTTAACATGTCTAACTTTTTCCTTAATCTACCTATTTCCTTTAGTAATTATACTTTTTAACAGGAAAATAATTATTTAATAAATAGATTGGTGACAAACGGCCTGTTGATTAACAATTTTGCATTTTTAAATTATTTTATTTTACATTAAATATATTATTATTCTGCTATTACTTCTTTTTTGAAACAGAAAAGTTTAAAAAAATATTGTATTCTTTACTCAATTAATTAAATCTCATTTCAAATTTATTTACAGAAAAAAAACAATTTTTTTTTGTATTATAGCAGATAAATTAAAAAAAAAATATGTAAAAATATTTCTAATTTAATAAAACGTTAAACTTTTTTGCACGACCTCTGCGTTTTTTTGATGGAGGTGTAAGTTTAGTTGCAGGGATAAGTATAGATGCAGATCTTCCTATTCTTCCTGCTCTTCAGAAGTTTCTTCAAAAATTTCCATTGAATTTTCAGTCACTATGAGTGGATTTGATGCAATATCTGAGAATTTTTTTTTTATAGTAATTTCATGTTTTCCTAGTACAGGTGTGGATTGTTTTTCTTGAATTTTTTATGGATTGCAGATCTTGTGGCTATCATATGTGATGATGATGATGATGTAGCATTTCCCTGGTAGATTTTGATATAAAATTTGATTGTTGAGTACGAATAAAACTAAAATTACATAGTTCTAGATAGAACATTCCCTCAATTGATGTTAAAGCACCTGAAAAAAATGGAAGAACTACGTTTTAACATTGTAGTCTGACTTTTAAGTGGCTTGGAATAATGTGATTGGAATCTCAGTTGGTTTATCTTTACCAATATAGTCTGAGATGGTACATTCAAATTGTATACCAAGATTTGTAGTAAGTACTGAATCTGATACAGAAGCTGTGCCTACAACATTTATTGATGAATTGGTAAATCCTCAGGTTTGATAGGTAAAATGGTAACAGTGGTTAATATTAACTGGATACACATGCAGATAATATGATTATAATATAGTTTGAAATTTAATTTTAAAACAAATAATAAATGTATTTAAAAAAATTAAAATAAAGTAATTTCTTACATCAATTTGATTATCGACAGGTCCAATAGCAAATTTTGAATTTGCAATAGATAAGACTTGTCCCTCTTCCAATTTTGGTACATAGCATGGTTTGTTAATCTTCGTTAAAAGGATAAAACACTGTAATATTAAATTCATCTGAG